AACATACACTATCCTGTAGAAGTACGATCAACACTGGAGTTCCTCCAACGGTAAGTTTTATTTTATTAGTCTTTTTTTTCTTATATTTATCAAACTGCCATTTGATAATCCCACCACAGGTTGTTAATTTAATTTCCCCAATTTCCCTCTCTTTTTTTTTTTTCATTAGGTATTTCTTTTCCATAAATCCTGAGAGAGGCACCAAAGTTGAGTCAAAGAAGAAAAAGGTGTTCTCAGTCAATCCCAGAGTCCTGACTCTCATCTCCAACATTGCTGACCTTCAGTGGACCTAGTCCTACCCCTCTTGTTTGTGTCAAGATGATAAAGGTATACTGTGTCACATATTCTATAGATGTGAATGTGAAGTTTCTTACAGTTTGATGTTTTTCAATACACAATTTATAAAAGGTACCTGTTCAAATTTTTATTCACTGTTTTATGCCTGAAAAATTTGGCAAAGCTAGTTCCAGAAGTTTCTTGAATTTGAAATTTCCTAGAAGATTTTTACATTCTAATGTAGTACAAGGTACAGTATATGCTATGTGTACTTTGCTAGCATTTTTCAAACAAAAAGTTTTTGTCGACATTTTCAAAATAGTGTAAAGTTTTTTGTTATCTGATTCAGTTTGAAGGTGTGAGTTTTCAGCTTTACTACACAGTTTNCTATTACACCCAGCGTAAAGACATCAACAAAGGGGCAAGCATCCAGAAACTATGCCAGGAATGGCCCTTTCTCTTCAATGAAGCTGGTATGACTGCACATTTTCAAGAACTGACTGGTGTGAATCTGATAGAGAACTTCCTCGCCAATGCAGACAAAAAGGGGGCTCATCTGTTAAAGTTCCTCAGACATGTTGATGCACAAAAACACAAAGAAGTCCTGAATGCTCTTCTCAAACTTCAGACTGAAAGAGGTCAGTCCAGTGGCTGCTCACAAGAAGTCATTGAGATGCTGCTGCTTTTACTGGCTCATTTTAATGAGAAGGAACAGCTTCTGTTCCACTACGTTGAGATGAC